GGAGAGCCGGTCCCGGGTGGGCAGCCTGCGCGGTGGTGAACCGGCGCCGTGAAGCCACACGTCGGTCCCAGTGGGATCTGTCCCGACGGGCGAGCCTGGGGCCTTAGGTCACGTGTCTTAGAAAGACCTTGGTCTCCATTTCCAGATGTCTCTTAATGCTCACATCCTGGTAGTTCCGGAACGGGATGGGAGAGCTGCTCGGGAATAGCCCGTTCTCTGTGACGGGTCGGTCGGACTCTCGCCGCTCCGCCCCAGCAGGTGTCCGAACTGAGCATCCAGCACCTCCGCAGAGTGTCTCCTTGACGTACAAATCCTGCTTTAACCTAATTTTAAAACCCAGAGGCCACCGTACCTGAGTCCTAGCTGCGATGGACTGTGTCCCCCAAGTTCATATGTTGAAGCCCTGACCCCCCATGTGGCCGGTATATACAGATGGGGCCTGTGCGGAAGTAATTCAGGTTAACGAGCTCACTTCCTGCCTGCCCTTGCCACTGAGGAAAGAGGAAAGGTGGCTTGAGGACACAGCAAAGCCAGGACGAGAGCCCTCCCCGGAAGGCAGATCACTGACACCTTGATCTTGGACGTGGCCTCTGGGATCGTGAGAAGTCAACGGTCGAGCCCCCAGCCGGCGGCGTTCCGTCCGGCCGCCTGAGCGGGGTCCCCAGCCACGGAGGTCTGCTGAAGGCCAGTCTCCTCTCCTGGGGAGGAAAGGAACGTGAGGTCCAGTCCTCTACCCCTCGGTGGCTACCTCTCCTCTGCTTACCGTGCGGACAGCATGACTGCGCCACGTGAGCCAGGGCGCGTGATTCTTCGGAGACTCTCCGCCCGGTGGGTGTCGGTGAGGCAGCCCTGCTCTGTTCTGTGACGGGTTCTCCCGAATGTAAGTTGGTAGCGACCACGTTGTTTTGCTGAAGCCTAGGAAACCAAAAATAAAAGTCGAGAGATAGGACTGTAGAGAGAGGAGATGATTACTCCCATATCTGGTCTGTGATTTTTTTTTTAAACTAGAAGAACGTCTAGTTACTTAGATTTAGGAATCTCGACGCTGGCTGGGACTTCCTTCTCTGTGACAGGCCCTAGTGAATTGATTGCTCTGCTTAAAGGTATTCAGACGGACTCTCCGAAAACTGCGAGAAGAGACCCACCCGTGAGATCTGTGTCTTCCAGCCAGTGCTTGTTCTGCAGGTGATAAGCAGCGAGGCCCGCTCTGGTGTCTGGACCTCTGCTGGTGACCTTCGTTTTTTTTGTTCTTATTTTATGTTTTGTTTATTTTTGAAAGGGACAGCACGAGCCGGGAAGGGACAGAGAGAGAGAAAGGGACAGAAGATCTGCAACGGGCTTCGTGCGCGGGGCTCGAGCTCATGAACCAGACCGGGAGCTCCTGGCCTCAGCCGACTGGGCCGCCCAGGCGCCCCCATTTTTTGCTTTAAACGCCCGAGCAACACGAGCAACCCCTGTCCTGAGGCAGACAGAAGCGCCCGTGGCCAGGCCTGGAGGACCGGGCCTGGGGACCCACTGGCTGTGAGCCGGACCAACGTTAGCGGTGCCCGGGACCTGTCCCCACGGCATTGTGTCAGCAGAGGCCTTCGAGGCACAAGTCGGGCCAGCGCACAGCTCCCTTCTCCCTCTGAGCCTTCTGTAGGCACGTGTGCTCCTAACACGTACGACCTCACTGCAGTCCCCTTGACCGGCTCACCGTCCAGCGGCTCCAGGCTCCGTCCCGAGGGCACCGTGCTGCTGAGAGGGCCGCCCGTGCCCTCGGCACTTCAGGACGCTCCTGGGGACCCCCTCTGCCGTGTCTGGTGCGCCTGTCTCCACGGCCTGCTTCCCACCATCTCTGGGTGGAGCGGCTCGAGGCCCGACACAGCCTCCGTGTCAGCCGGAACCTAGCACGGCGTCTGCTGGTGCGGGTGACGGCACCGCCAGCCAGGCCCTGAGCACGTGGGACGGGGTGGAGCGACCGGTCTCGGCGGTGGTGTGTTCTAGAACTGTAAATGATCTTCAGTTTTTAATTAAAAAACAAATTCTCGGTGCTTTCCTTTTCTCTTTCTTTCTTTTTTTTTTTTTTTTTTTGACGTTTATTTATTGTTGAGACAGAGAAAGAGCATGAACAGGGGACGGTCAGAGAGAGAGGGAGACACAGAATCTGGAACAGGCTCCAGGTTCTGAGCTGTCAGCACAGAGCCTGATGTGGGGCTTGAACTCAAGAGCCATGAGATCACGACCTGAGCCGAAGTCAGACCCTCAACCAACTGAGCCACCAGGAGCCCCTCATTTCTTCTTTTTTTATTAAAAAAAATTTTTTTTTTCAACGTTTATTTATTTTTGGGACAGAGAGAGACAGAGCATGAATGGGGGAGGGGCAGAGAGAGAGGGAGACACAGAATCAGAAACAGGCTCCAGGCTCCGAGCCATCAGCCCAGAGCCCGATGCGGGGCTCGAACTCCCGGACCGCGAGATCGTGACCTGGCTGAAGTCGGACGCTTAACCGACTGCGCCACCCAGGCGCCCCTCATTTTTTAAAAAAAAATTTTTTTTTTTTAACGTTTATTTATTTTTGGGACAGAGAGAGACAGAGCATGAATGGGGGAGGGGCAGAGAGAGAGGGAGACACAGAATCGGAAACAGGCTCCAGGCTCTGAGCCATCAGCCCAGAGCCCGATGCGGGGCTCGAACTCACGGACGCGAGATCGTGACCTGGCTGAAGTCAGACGCTTAACCGACTGCGCCACCCAGGCGCCCCTCCTTTCTTCTTTTTAAATGTTTTATTATTTTGAGAGAGAGAGAGATACACGGCGAGCGGGGGTGGGGCAGAGAAAGAGGGAGCCGGGGAAGCCCAAACAGGCTCCCTGCCGTCAGCACCGAGCCCACCGCTAACGAGCTGTGAGACTTTGGCCTGGGCGGAAATGCTGAGCCAGCCCGGTGCCCCTTGGGGGCTTTCTTAAGGTTTTACATGTGCTAATTCGTCTCTAATCACTCCCTCATTGTTGTTGAATCGTTCTTTTCTTTCCCGAAGAAGCTCACTTGACCTGGAAAAAAGTTACAGAAGGTGGTAGGGCTCTGTAAGGACAGGAGACTGCTCAAGGAGTTTCACTTGTTAGGAAGGGAATTCTCCCGCAGAAACTTCCCGACCCTGCAGGCCTGCCCTCCCCCTCGGAGCAGAGGGCTCCCCGGTCTCCCCATGTTTGTCACATCCCGCAGTGAGAGCGGTTCCTTTTGTTTTTGTGTGTTTGTTAAAGTGTGATGCGCAAGTCCCGCCTTGAGATTATTGGGTGTTAAGAGAATGAAGCGTAAAAAGAGAAATTGAAACTAAAACAGAATTTTCAAGGTTATATGGCTCTTCCTCCCGTATTACCCCCAAGAAGCACATCCTTTATGGTTTTTTGATAAAGGCTCTGAAAATGATTCTTGGGTCATTCGATTATAACTCCTTGGCCACCACATTGTCACGATTCAGCATGACCCATGTCTTTCCCTAGGGCTGTGTTGGTGACCCACCCTCAGAAGGACATCTGTGTGGGGCTCGCTGTTCGTCACAGTGAATTTGCTGGGCCTCACCCAGGGCCTTGCGGTGAATGACTCTTTATCCTTGTCTGCAATGAGGGTAGGGGAACAGTTCCTCTGGAAAATTGTCGTGGCGGGGCTCTCGTAATCTCGTCTACTGTATGGGTTGACCGAGAGGTTGGGAAGGCACCCTACTTGTTCTGTGATCCCCAGAGAGAGGAGGCCACTCTGGGTCAAATGTACGTGTGTGTGTGTGTGTGTGTGTGTGTGTATCCATACTGCTTTTCAGAAGCCTTTGCATTTTTCATAAAAAGTATCCGTAAGTCTGTACCCGCACTAATATTAAGTCTCCCCATACCTTTTCTGTAGATACTTTTTCATCTTTGCCAAGGCCCTTTACCAGACTCCTTGCTCTAACTTACATTTGAGATTTCTGGAGAGGTTGGAAATCTTTTTATAAATCTAGATGGTTTCCCATCTAAAGAAAATAAATACTACACTTTTATTCAAGCCTTTTTAAAGGTACTTCAGAAGAAGAAACAGGTATGGCATGTGACTATAGTTGATAATATTGTACGGTATACTTGAAGTTTGCTAAGAGTAAATCCTTTTTTTTAATTTTGAGAGAGAAAACGCATGATTGGGGAGGGGCAGAGAGAGGGAGAAAGAGACCATCCCATACAGGCTCTGCACTTACCAGCACGGAGCCTGATGTGGGGCTCGAACTCATGAACCGTGAGATCATGACCTGAGCCAAAGTCAGAAGCTTAACTGACTTGAGCCACCCAGGCACCTCTGCTAAGAGTAGATCTTAAGCGTTGTTCATGCACACGTACAAATAGAAGTTTACCTGGGAGGTGATGGATGTGTTAATTAACTTGATGGTAATAATCATTGTACGGTGTGTGTATAAATCAGCACATTGGCCAAAAGTAGACCCACACAAGTATAGTCACCTTGTCTTTGACGAAAGGGCAAAGACAACTCAATGGAGCGAAGATAGTCTTTTCAACAAATATTGCTAGAAAACCGCATCCACACGCAAAAGAATGAATCTAGACCCAGACCTGACACTCTTCACAAAAATTAACTCAGAATTGGGGCGCCTGGGTGGCTCAGTCGGTGAAGCGTCCAACTTTGGCTCGGGGCATGATCTCACAGTTTGTGGGTTTGAGCCCCGCGTCGGGCTCTGTGCTGACAGCTCGGAGCCTGGAGCCTGCTTCGGATTCTGTGTCTCCCTCTCTCTCTTCCCCTCTCCCGCTCGTGCTCTGTCTTAAAAATAAACATTAAAAAAAAATTTTTTTTAAATTAACTCAGAATGGATACTAGATCTAAATGTAAAACACAAAACCATAAAACTTCTAGAAGATATCCTAGCAGAAAAGCAAGGTGCCCTTGGGTGTGGCGGTGCCTTCTTAGATCCAACACCAAAGACACAAGTCATGAACGAACTAATACTCTGTACTTGTTAAAATGAAAAACTTCTGTTCTTGAAGGACACTGTCGAGAGAATGAGAAGACAAGCCACAGACTTGGGGAGAGTATCTGCAAGAGGCACCTCTGAGAAAGGACTTCTCCAGAACACACAAAGGACTCAAAACTCCAGAATTAGCAAACCAACCCGCCCAGAAAACGGATCGGTGGCCCTGACAGAGACCTCACCGAAGAAGATACACAGGTGGCAGGTAAGCACCTGAAGAGCCGGTCCACGGCACAAACCGTCAGGGACAAGCGGTTTACAGCCGCCACGCCGCTGCACACGTACCAGAGCGGCCCAAACCCGAACTGCGACGGCGCCAGATGCTGGTGAGGACTCGAGGCCTCGCGAGTGCTCGCTGCTCGCTGCCGGGGACGCAGGGTCACACGGCCACTTGGGAAGACGGTTTGGCGGGTTCTTACAAAACGAAACCTACTCTCACCACGCGGCCCGGCAGTCACGCCCTTGGTACTCACCCAAAGGGGTTGAAAACTTACGTCCACCCAGAACCTGCACACGGATGTTTGTAGATCTGTGTGTAATGGCCAAGCCCTGGAAGCAACCGGGTGACTGGACAAACGCCCTGGAACATCCGTATTCGCTAAACCGTAACCAATTATCAAGTCACGAAAAGACTCGGAGAGACCGTAAATGCACGTTACTGAGTGAAAACCGAACCTGAAAAGGCTATGTGCTGAATGATCACAACTCTAGGACATTCTGGAAAAGGCAAACCTGTGGACACAGTTAAAAGGTCAGGGGTGGCCAGGGGTTGGGGTGGGGGCGGAGGGAGGGATGGGTGGGTGGGGCCCACGGGATTTTTGGGGCCGCGAGAGTGCTCTTCGTGATACCGCAGTGCTGGGTGCGCTTCGTTACCATTTGTGCAGACCCCCAGAACGTGCGAGACCACGAGTGAGTCCTACGCAAATTCGACGCCGGGGGATGATGCCTCAGTTTACCTTCGTCAGTTGTAACACATCGACCCTGGGGGGGCGGGGCTGGGACGCGGGGCTCTAGGGGCGATCTACCTTCCTCCTAACTTGGCTGTGAACCTAAAACTCTAAAAGAATAAAGTCTTTAAAAAATCATGTTGTACATTTACATATAATTTTGTCAACTCTGCCTCAATAAAGCTGGGTGAGGGGCGCCCGGGAGGCTCAGTCCGTTAAGCGCCCGACTTCCGCACAGGTCATGATCTCGCGGTGCGTGGGTTCAAGCCCCCTGTTGTTCATGTTCTCTGTGCTGACAGCTCGGAGCCTCGAACCTGCTTCGGATTCTGTGTCTCCCTCTCTCTCTCTCCTCCCCTGCTCGTGCTCTGTGTCTCTCAAAAATAAACATTAAAAGCAATTAAAAAAAAAAAAAAAAGGAACAACAGTGGATGTGGACTTCCTGAGTTTATGGCCCGGCTCCTCCTTTAGTTTGGCGCCACTCAGATAGGCAGGGACTTGGGCCGGACCTGGGTGCGGTGCTCGGGTTGCCAGGGGGGAGCCCCGGAGCCGGCGAAGAACAAACAGCAGGGCCCCGGCGAGGCTGGAGGGACAGGAAGCCAGACACCTGCAGAACAGAGTCCTGCGACTCCCCCGGGCCACAGCAGGGAGGTGGTGCCGGCTCGGAACCGGACCCTCCCGCCCGCACGCCTCCGGGGTGGGCTCGGGTGTTCACCTGCTCCCGCGCCTGCGAGACGCGGACCAACGGTCAGCAGTGCGTCCGGAGTGGGCTCGACCTAGATTGCAGCCCGATGTTTCTTCAGCGTCTCCCCTCAGACCTCTGACGGACGTCGCAGACACAGCCCGTGCGACCCAGACTCCGCTCTGCCCCCACCCCAAATCCGCACAGTCCGTAGTCCACGGTCTCCTCCATCTCCACCCGCCACGACTCCGTCCTCCCGGGCTCTCAGGCTGCAGCCCCAGAATACCCCTGACCGCCCCGCGCCTGTGCCTCACATCCCTGCATCGTCAGCTCTGGGTGGCCTTCGTGCAAAACCGATCCGGAACCTGACCGTTCCCACCACGCACATACTAGGTCCTGACCCAAGCCCCGACCTCGGTCACTCGGAAGATTGCGGTAGCCTCCCCAGTTTCCTTGCTTCCGTCTAGCCTGCCCTGCAGGTGGTTCTCCGTCTAGAAGCCCGACTCCCATCACACCAAGTGGCCGTGAGCGTCCCCACGCTCTGGCCCTGCCGCCCTCCGGGCCTCCTCCTGCTGCCCCAGCTGATGTACCGCAGGCCCCGAGGTCCAGGACCCAGCGCCCCAGGCCGTGTGCTGACCATTCTCTCTGCTTCCTCCAGGTGTTTGGGCTCCCCCCACCCCCAACTCCTTCCATCGGCTGCTCACGGAGACTCATACCCTGTAGGCTTCCCTGCCCCTTCCCACCTCCCCACCTCCCTCTGGGTCCCTCTCCCCCTCTGACGCCGTCCTCCCCTCCCCGACCCAAGGCGGTCACGTGTTACTCCTGTTTCCCTGCGTTACGTTCCCCCTCCCCGTCTTAACGGGGCTCACGTGTGCCAACGTCCTGGGATCCTCACTGCCAGATATTTGGCCCTTGAGAATCTATCACGCCGGCCAAAGTTGGTTTTCCACGAGAGTGAGATTTGCTTTCTGAAAAACGATTTCCCAAATGTCAGTATCTGTTACTTATACGTCCCTGTGGTTTTTATTACTAAGACTTAGTCCCAGTGCTTACTGTAGTTGTTGGGTGTTCTCGTGTTTCTGCTGCCCTGCCCCCCAACATTGGCGGGTGTTAGAATCAAAAGCAAACGGAGACCTGCCTGGAAAATCCCCCGAGCAGACAAAACCAGTTTGGTTATACAAACAGAGATTAATGTTTATTTTGCAAGACGGCCCGACCTGGGCCACTTCTCGCTTAGGCCCCTGGAAATCGCGAACAAAACTTTTCTTTCCCAAAAGTTGCTATGAGCTAACCACTAACCAATTCTGTGTCGTTAAAGAAAGTCAATGTTGTGACGACTCCCTGTGAATCTCGAAGTCCCTGCCTCCTCACCTCCTGCGCGGCTGTCTGGAAATGCGGCCCTGAGCCCCGTCTGTGCTTTGGTTACGTGCTCCCAGCTGGGAAGTGGTCTTTTTGGCGAACGCACGGTCCGTCCTTACTAGTTGCTACTTCAGTCACTTGCTGCACTTTTGTCAGTGTTCACCAAAGAATGTCGTGCGGGACGTTTTTGGAATGAATACGTGCCGCCCTCCAAGAGGAGGAGTCTTATCACCCTTAACGCGGCGTCTTCTTCACGAGCCTCACCACTTTCCAGAAGAGAGTTAGCATAGGAGGCCCCCTCAAAGTTTTTGACCTCAGAAGGCTTTTTCCCGATCCTTCCTCTCAACGTAAGTGACATGGAGCACGCCTGGGGAAGAGTCTCATTGGAGCAAGTGTTTGGGGACAGCGTGACGCAGGTATGATGACGTCTGGAGAGAGACAGGGGTGCGCACGCTAGAATAGCACGCTAGAATAAACATGCGTTTACTTGCATCCTGGAAGCCCAAGGGCGTGGGATGACTCACTGAGAGGCTGCAAATGAGGCTGCCTCTGTCCCCAGGGAAAGAGAGGGTCGTACTTACCAATGTCTGAATGTCTCCTTCTTTCTTCTTTGAAAGAGGTGTTAAGAGCCCGAGAAATGCTCTCCTTTAGACCGAGGCCTCCAGGGGCTGCGTCAGTGCCGCTCCTTTGGTAAGAAATCCACTCCGACTCCCTTTTTTCAGGTACGAACAGTTCACAGTTCACGCACAGCTGGCTTGTTTCTGAATTCAAAATACCACAACTTTTTGTAAAAACCATTGAAATTGTCCAAATATACATGCAAAAAGAATAGTTTTATGAACATCCATACATCCCTGTCACCCAGTTTCATTGTATGAAAGTCTCTCTCAGCGAATTGGCCAGGTTGTAGGATAGGGGACGGCCCGCGGCTTTTCGTCCCGCAAGTCCTGTGTCAGCCCTACGTTCCATTTCTAGACGGGCCCTTGTGTTTCACGGCCAACCTTTATTTCCGGCCCTTTCTTTTCAACGATAATTTTCATCCCGGTGCACCAGTTGCTTCCAACCATTGGCACCTCTGCTGTTATTTATGACGCCTGCACTCCCTTCACACTTCCTCTCTTTTCCAGAAAGCCCTCAGGCTTTCCGTGTAGAAGACATGGGCTGAGCTCTGGCCGTGACGGGAAAGTGGCCCAGACACAGGCTGCTCCGTGGGGCTGGGCTGGTCTCCCTCCCACGTGGGCGTCAACAGTGAGGGGCCGCAGGGCACAGGGCCCGAGGACAGGGACAGGGATGGGTGGCGCCGACTTGACAGCAGTTGCCAGGCCCTCTGCTCTCCTCAGAGAGACACCCACCGAGTAGGGGGGCCTTGGCAGCCCAGTGTTCCAGAGCGTCTGCCCGGTTGTCTGCTCGGCCCTCCTCCCCCGGGTCCTCAGGGGTCCCGGCTTTGTCCCAAGGGGCTGCCAGGCCCGGCCTCGCCGGACGGCCGACCTCGGGCTTCGGCAGAGATCCAAGGGGGGTGGACGCGTGGTTCTGCCTGGGCCATCTGGAACCTTCCATGAGACTGGCTCTCCAGACACCACCTAAAAGAGCTCCTTTCTCATGAATTACAAGCATGGCTGCGGAGCTACTGGGGGCTGGGTTTTCTGTACCGACAGGAAGCTCGTTACGGGAGGTGAGAATTGAGCCAGCTCTCGGGGAGGAGAGCCGAGGCAGGCCGAGGCCGAGGCCGGGAAGGAGGGAACCCTTAGCACCCTCTGAGCCCCAGCGCAGTCTTGCTTGAGGCGAGGCCCCCCAGCCCGCGGCAGAGCCAACCTATCTTTGTTCTGTTTCGTTCGTTTTGCACGTTGCGCGCCTGTCCCCGGAGCCACGAAGCTGGGCCGTGGTTCCTAAAGCACGAGGGGCTGCGGCGTGGAAACACATCCCCGGGAGCCAAGACGCGGAGGGCCCTCCCTGTGCCGAGCAGCGCGGTGAGGGGGCAAAGGCCGCGCCGGGGCAGCTGCTGGCGCTCGTGTGACACTCCTGTGCCACCAGCCGCCGTGGCTGCTCGGACACACGTGCAGGAAAGCCGGCCAGACGTGAAGCCCCGCATCTCTCGAGAGATGAAGAAAGATGAGGAAGCCGTGAACAATTAGGAAATGTCGACGTCTGCGTCGACGCGTTAATGTTGTCTGTGACGCAAGGGAAGCGCACAGAAAGCATCTCTGCTATCAACCCAAGTGTGACCGTTGCCAGGAGAGAGGCCCCTAGGATTGGCCTGCAGGCCGAACTCGCCCCCAGATCACCATCGCTGTTCCAGCCCGCCCGGCAGACGCTGTCTCAAAAATGAGCCGAGCGAGCCTGCCTTCGCAGTCTGACTTGACTCAGTGCGCGGTGGTCGCCGGGGGCGGGGCGCTGCTGGAACCGAGAGGGGAACAGCAAACACGCGGCCCTTACTGAGGCCGCGGTTACGATGGCTGTGCCGTCCAGAACCCTCCCTGCCAGAAAAAGAATTGTGATCGTCTCCTAAGGCTTACCCAGCTGTCATATACCCTGGATGTGGAGTTCCCTCTTGTCCAGCAACAGGGCAGACGCGGGATTAAAATACGAGAGGCTAATGTCCGGGAGGAGACAGGAGCCCCAAGTAAGGGTCCTTGCTCCGTTTTTATTGGGGTCAGAAGGCTTACAAGCGTGATGGGCGTGTACCAAGAGACAATGAAACCGTGAACATTAAGTCACGGGCAGGAGGGAAAGGGGGTGTTGAAGGCATGCGCTGTTAGACACAGACTCCTGACACTGGGTGGAAGGTTGTTTACAGCAGACGTGAGGCCCCTCCTCTGTTTACCTAAACTGGCCTAGGGGATGAGAAAGACCGAGCGAGCTACGTCAGGGTCAACAAGGAACCTTTCTTTTGCTAATTAGCTCCTCTCTGGGCAACTACGCCCCACCGACGTCTATAGCACTGTTTACCTGTTCACCTAATTTGGTCCTTCCTTCCTGTGAAAGCAGCTTTCTGCTGTTGTACTAAGTTGGGGGGCATTTCCCCCCTGAACACCTTATCTCGTTTACTATTTTTGGATGCCTTCATCCTGCGATTTCCTATTCCTATACTTTTGTCCTATTCTGGGGGCCTTTGCCCCATTTACCGGACCTTTTTTACCCAAACTTGGTTCATCCTGTGGCTATTTCTTTAGGCCTTGTTAACCCACCAGTGCTCAGGGAAATCCCAAGCTTATTCCCCACGCCTAGCAACGTGAGGAAGTGTCATGCTTGAGTCAAGGTTATTCTCCTGGCCTCTGTAGAGGTTTGTTTTTTGGTTTTTTTTTTACTGTATCTTAAAAAGTTGTCTAGTTACCATCAATTTAAGAATCCTAAATCCAATGAAACCGTGACATTGATAACTGTGCTTTTACCTAAAACATGGACAGCTGGTAAATAAGTAAAAGTGAGCAGGGGCCACTTTTTTTTTTTTTTTTTTTTAATATTGACCTATTTTGGGGGAGAGCGCAAGCTGGGGAGGGGCAGAGAGAGGGGGCAGAGGGTCCGTAGTGTAGCGGGCTCCGTGTTGACAGGCTGACAGCAGCGAGCTCAACGTGGGGCTCGAACTCACGAACCCTGAGATCATGACCTGAGCCGGAGTCGGACGCTCAACCAACTGGGCCACCCAAGCACCCCTGGTGCCACCGTTCTTAACCATTTTCAGTCTCTGCTCAGTCACTGACAGTGAGTAGGGACAATACAGAGACTTATGGATGTGGTAAGCAGCATTTTGAGATTCCCCCCCCTGGTGGACAAGCCCTGTATCAGACCCTTGAGCGTGGGTGGAGCTGTGAGTCTGGCTGCTGGTGAAATTACTGAGCCTTGCTGCAGGAGTAACTAAAGCCCCAAACCACTGGACTCGGAGTTCATCAAAATGGAGGTTATCTTTGGTGAGCCTGAACTAATCGGGCGAGATCTTCTTGGAAGGAGAGATTCAAAGGGATAAAGCCTTGCCTGTTGGCTTAGAGAAGTAGGCGTCTATGTTATGGGCAAAGGACTGAGGGCATCTTCTGGGCATAGAGAGCAGCTCCTGGTCACCAGCCAGTAAGAAAAGAGGGGTCTCGGGTTTACTGAGTGAGTTCTGCCAACAAGCACGCTCCAGCAAGGAGGCAGCCGCAGCGACCTTGACTGCAGCTTGTGACGCTGAGCAGAGGGTGACCCTCGCCGTGCCCACACTTCTCACCTTCAGGACCGTGAGCACTCTGTCATATTTCCAAGACTCTGTCCAATAAATGCACATAGAGCGGGTCCCAGTTCTCCACGGGCCTCTGACATTTCTGCACACACACCAGTGGGATCCTAACTACCGTTGCAGGGATCTTTGTTTAGCCCAATGGCCTTGGAAGACCGATGTGGTTGGTGTGTCCCTGGAGCAGGGGCAGGCATGCTTCCTGCCCGGTATAATGGAGATCTAGGTTCCTAAGCTCAGTGCAACCTGCTGAGCACACGGGTGCACGGGTGTCTTCTGGTCTCTTCGCGTCCCCTGGGAGGAGCCGGTGCAGAGACACTGACACCAGCCACTGCCGTTGAGTCGGGCGCTGGGCCTTGCCTCTGACCCAGGAGACTCGGGTCTTCGCCCGCATGCACAAGCTTATGGCAAGCTCCCTCCTTGGCTTGTTAGTAGCGTGAAATCTGAGACTCTGACAAAGTGCTCCCCACAGGCCAGGGAAATACAATTTTAATATTATTATTGGGATACAGTGGGGTCAGCAGATTCCAGCCTGATGCCTGTTTTTGTATGTTCTGTGATCTAAGAATGGCTTTTACATTTTTTTTAAAGTTTATTTTGAGAGAGAGAACGGGGGGAGGGGTACAGAGAGGGGGAGACAGAGAATCCCAAGCAGGCTCCCCACTGTCAGCACGGAGCCTGACGCAGGGCGCGAACCCACAAACTGTGAGATTGCGGCCTGAGCTGAAATCAAAAGTCGGACGCTTAACCAGCTGAGCCACCCAGGTGCCTGTTTTTCACATTTCAAAACGGTTGCTACTGAAGGACCCATCTCCTCTGCTTGATTCTGCCTCTTGGCCCACGAAGCCCGAAAGAGGAAGCCCTCGCAGAGGAAGCACGTCGCTGGCACGGGCGCACACCCGTGGATGGGTGGCGGGCGTGCGGGCAGGGCCGCAGGGAGGGCGACCATCTGTCTTTCAAAGCATCTACAGATCCTTCCCGAGCTGCCCACTTCGGGGTGATAAACTCCGGTTGCATGATGTATTTTTTGGCTGCTGCTGGCTATTCTGCTGGAAGAAGCAGTTCAATTTCAAGAGACTTCTTCCCTTCTAAGGAGGATTCCCGGAGGGCAGCACTGGTCACAGGAAAGCGATGCGATGCGTGCTGTTCGTGTCTGCTTCTGCCTGCTCGGACCCGCTCTGCCAGCCAGTGCCAGGTTCCGCGGCCGCTTGTCCTGCTTTTCCACAGTATGGTTGTTTGTACAGACATAAAACAGCTCCCTCTCCTCCCCAATAGTGAAAAATAAATAAACGAGGCTCCTGCTTAACGTGGAGGCCAACGAACGGTGACACACGACTGTGCTGTGCTGCCCTATGGTGGCGGGGGTGGGGGGTGGGGTGGGGTGGGGGCGACCCTGCAGGTGCTTAGTTCCGGGAAGCGGTCATTCCCCCCAACCACCGCACGCTTTGCAGGGAGCTCAAATCCCAGCCTTGCTCCTTCCTGGCCGTGTGACCTTGAGCCAGTTATGAGCCCTGCTTGCCTCAGTTGTCGTTAAAGCGTGGGTAGTAAGGGGGCCTGGGTGGCTCAGTCGGTTAAGCGTCGGACTTCCGCTCAAGTAGCGATCTCACAGTTCATGGGTTCGAGCCCTACATTGGGCTCTGTGCTGACAGCGCAGAGCCTGCTTTGGATCCTCTGTCTCTACCTCTCCCTGCCCCTCCCCTGCTGACACCCTCTTTCAAAAATAAATAGACCTTAAAGAAACGTGAGGGCAGGTGAGACCACGTGTGGGAAGCCCACAGAAGATTACCCAGCGCACAGCATTATTTTCTAGGGAAGGAGATTTGATTTGAGTTAGGAGGGCAGTTGTAGTGATGTTGTGGAAACTCTGGAGTGCTTCTCATAGCCTTTCCGTTTTCATTCAGCAGACCTCCTTTTGTCGCCTGTCACATACCAGGCACTGGTCCCTGGAAGACACACCCTGACCCCAAGACACAAGTCGTCACTGGCAACACACATGTATTCATTCAGCAAGTACCAAAAACATGGGGCCGGCAGTCTTAAGGTGGAGGCTGACATTAGCCAAATCCATCATTACAGACAAGCACCAGGAGCCTGTGAAACAGGGAGACCTCCCAGCCGTGCAGGGTGCGGTCAGAAGGCCTCTCTAGGGAGGGGTCCTAAGCGGAGAAGGGAAGCGCGCAGGGGAGAACGGTGTCTGCAGGATGGAGGGAGGGAAAACGCACTGGCAAAGGCCCCGAGGTAGGGAGGGCGGCAGACCCAGACGCTGAGAGACCCGCGTGTGTGGAGGGCAGAGAACAGGCGGGAGGCAGAGGCTGGAGAGGTGGTCGGCAGCCGGGCGGTTGGGAAAGGAAGGCCAAGCAGACAGGTGACACAACCCCGTTTGTGTTTTTTAATACACGCTCTGCACGGAAGTGTGGAGCCGCAGAAACGGAAGCAGGGGGTCAATTTCAGTAAGTCCATTTCATCAGGCAATAAAAGAGGGCAGAAAGACCCGGGATGGGGGTAAGTGAGTGGATGTGTGGTGTGCTTTGGAGGTCAAAGCGACAGGATTTGCTGCTAGACTTGGCTGGATGCTGAGGGGAGGGGAGAGGAAACACACAATCCCTAGACGTTTGGCGCTGCTGTTCGCTAGGTCAGGAAAGGCTGGGGAGACACGGCTGGGTGTGCAGGCGCTCGACTCCGTTTCGGCTGAGTTAGGTCTAGACACCGACCATGCGTGTGGTGAGGCCAAGTTAGACATGGAGCCTGGTCTCAGAAGAGGTCCTGGCTGGAGACAGATGGTGGGGGTCAGTCATCGATGTGTACTGCACCACACGAGCACACCTACAGCGTGTGCGGATAGAGGACGGCACACGGAGAGCCCTGGGCACCCCAGCACATTGTGGCCACACCACCGAGAACCAGGAGGGAGCGGAAGGGAAATGACAAGAAATGTCTCGGGAAGGGAGTAGGCGACCGTGACGAACTGACTGAGAACAGAAGCAAGGACTGGACCTGGCAACAGGGGGGCTGGTGGAGGGGGGCGCCGGGGCAGCCTTGTGGGAGCGGCCGGCAGGGACTGGCGAGCTCTGCGGCTCTGCAGGGTGGGCTAAGGTGAGGGCGTGGGGTGAGACCACCATCAACCACCACGTTCCGCAGCTTTGTCACGAAGCGCAGAACAAAACCGGCAGTGATGTCGAAGGTGGAATCCTGGAGGACGAGCTGTCGCTGGTCGAGCTGGAGAGGCGGGCTCTCCACTGTGCAGTCGCTGCAGCAGCAGAACGGACACGAAGTAAATGTGTGCCTTGTGTACAACTTGGGGAAGTTCTAGAGTGGACTAGAGCGGTCTGGTTTAAATCCCATACCTTTCCCAGTTACTTGATTCCCTGCTAGAGACCGTGGTGAATGGCTGAGATAATCCCATCTTTTCTGGTTCATTGCTTTGAAAGAAATGAACCTTTCTTTTCTTTTCTAATCTGCTAAACGGATTATCAATTCAAAGACTGGGAAAGGGAAGCTTGTTTATTTCTCCTAGGACGTTAAGTCCTAACCCTGGGAAGGGGGATGGGCGGTTTAAAAATACAGGGTCGTACTGTAGACCTGCTGCTGTTACAAAGAAGGGGGGAGGGGTTGGAGAAGGCACAGTCTCCTGAGTGACACCTGTCCTGCGTGGTGACTTGACCTGACCTCGAGCCGCGCTAGGTCCCACATCAGCTGCGTGGGTTGTAATAAAACCACTTTTTTTGGATGGCATTTAGTTTCCTTCCTGTAAAATACTGTTTGTTTCACAAGATTCTTCTGCCTGTCCAGAGATCGTAGCACCCGGCGCCACTTGCAGAGGGCTGGAGGACGCTGAATTTTACCTGCGCCCCGTGCACCCCGAGAGCAGGGCAGTAGGAAAGACTCGGGACGCCCCGTTTACCTAGAACGAGGCCAGACTCGGTGCGAATTCCGTCTGTCTCACCCACGCGGTCCCCGCTGAGCGGCAGCAAGTTGACCCTTGGCCCTGGGGCAGGCTCTTCCTCCTGGTCACCAGCCCCGCCCCCCCGATGCACCCCTTCCCGCCCGCCCCGCTCCCCGCAGTCCCCCTTCTCTCCCCCACGCTCCGCCCCCTCCGACGGGCGCGCCGGCCCCGCCCCGCCCGGCCGCCCCGGGGCAAGGGCCTTCCCCGCGCGGCGCGCCCGTTCTTCCTCCACCGCGTCCCCGGCCCGGCCATGGTGCAGGCCTGGTACATGGACGAGTCGGCCGACGACCCGAGGCTGCCCCACCGCGGCGACCCCTGCAGCCCGGTCGGCCTGGAGCAGCTGCGCCGGCTCGGGGTTCTTTACTGGAAGGTACGCGGCGCGGGGGCGGGCGGGGGCGGTGTTCCCCCCCCCCTCCCGCGCTCCCCGCACACCCGAAGCTTCGGCGAGTGGGGACCGCGGCCAGGACAGGGCCGGGGGAAGAGCTGCGCATGCTCTTACAGGGGGTCAGGGGTCGGGCGGTCGGCGGCGCCCGGGGCACGCAACGCGCGCTGGGTAGCGGGGCTGGAGTCTAGGCGCCCCGGGAGCGGTGCGCATGCTCACGATCCGGCCGAGCGGCGGCGTGCGGGGCGCTCAGCGCTTGCGCGCCTCTAGGGGGCTTGGGCGTCCTGCGCATGCTCGGCGTCTCCGCTGGGCGGTGGGCGGCCTGGGCGCGCTGCGCATGCTTGCAGAGGGGTTGTGGGGGGAGTCGGGTTCCCCGCGAGGTGTCGGGCGGGGGTTTGGGGTCTGTGGTCTGACGCGGCGGGTGGGTTCGCGGCGTTAGCGGACTGCAGCGGGCGAGAGCGGGGAAGGAGACCTTGGGCCACCCAGGGTCCCTGTGCGGTGCGCCGGCGGCAGGTGTGCCCTCCTGGCGAGGTGCACGCAGGGGTGTGGGGTCTCGGCGGGACCGCTCTCCCCTCCTCCCCCACCGCGGGCTGCAGGGGCCCGGCTGTCGGAGTCCGCTGTGACGTCCGCTCCCGCGCGCGTGCTCCATCTGGGACCAGAATGGAATAAAGTCTGATTTGTTTTGTAGCGACGCTTTACCCCCGGTGGACAGGCTCGTAGAATGTTCCAGCCTAACAGCACTTTAGACCTCATCTGGTCTCTCTTAGATAAAGGAGAAGCAGGTCTTCTTGGTACCTCTGGTTGAGCAGTGTTAACGTTCGTTTGTTCGTTCTTTCTCTCTTTTCTTTCTTTTTCTTCTTTCTTTCTTT